GCCGCATTCAGCCGGAAAAATGACACATTTTCCTCAATGCTCCGGTTCTGATCGGCCACCATAGCGATACGCTGAGCCAATAGAACTGCTCGCCGGCGATGCGTGCGCGTTCCAAAGCGACATTTGTAATGAAGCTGTTGCTCTTTTCACTGAAATCGGACTGTGGTTTCTGACACTGCATGTTTCGACCTCGCTTGTACCTAACCAGTGCTCTACTGCCATGCAGATGCGGTTCTGCTGAAAGCTAACGACGTTACAACGGCCCGTGAATATGCTGCTTTCGATCGACCATGAAAACAGTATGGCAAGGCCGTTTAGGAAATTTTCTCTTGTTCCGTCCAGCGCCGAATTACCGTAAGACAGACGGCTATCGCCGCGGCACATCGTCGGCCATCGGTGCACTTTCCCAATCGAGCCACCATAGCACCTTTTTCCACGACCTTAATCGTTGGCACGTTGGCTTCCATTCGCACGTCAGCAGCCAGGAGTGCCTGATTTCAAACACACACACACACACACACACACACACACACACACACAAATTCGACAGCAGCTGTGGCCAGCACAGTGTACTGACTCCAGCTTCCTTTCTATGGAGTGGAACTAATTTATCAACCTCGGAAACAAGAAAGGCAAGTGACCCGATCAGATCTCGAACCCAGGTCCTTTCTGGTCTGACTTTGACTTTTTATCAACTGAATAACCCCGGTCTGAAGCAACGTACGATAAATTCCTTCCATAGAGGAATTCGTCACTAAAACAAAGACTGCGCTCTTCCAGAACTGAGTCCGGCACCTCTGGAACTCGAAACCAACTTCGTAGTCACTGTACCACTACGTTACGATATTTTGCTGAAGGACAGTTTTCTCCTTCCCGTCACAGCAGAACTGTCGCTGAAAGCAAGATTAACGTCTTCCACAGGGGCAACATTTATGCCGCATTTAGAAGGAATGATGGCTCAGTGGGAGTTTGTTCTGCTTTGCTGGTTCCAATCCCTGCACTTGGTAAAAGTTTCTGATTGACCGCTAACTCCCTTGACCAAAGAAGTCGCCTTCCGTGGTTCAGTGCATCCAGCTCAGGAAGGACAGTGAAACGTGAACACTGACCACTGCATGGCAACAAACCAATAACAACGGGCTTGCGCGCTTTCTGAGATAATTGCGCTGTACGGTCAGCTGTCAGTAGGATCAAGACGAATTGCATCATCAGATTGTAATGCGGTATCTTTCATTTATTCTGACATGACTACAGTAGAACACCATGCCGTCCGTGTTGTTCAAGAGTAGATGAGGTGCTCCCTTCTACGGTTGGTTGCACACAAGCAACGTGCGGTGAATTTTTGGCTCTAAGGAATTGGCAATGAAATGAATTTTCCCCTGCTTTTCTACAGAAACCCAGCACTTTTTACCACTGTGCCAAAACCCCCTGCCCTTCTGGTATGCTCCTACTGGATTTGCGTCCATGTTGTCTGAGGAGTGCATTCTGCCACTGCCGTAAAGTTGACCCACTTAAATAAGTCCTACCACATCCTTGCTTCTTGATGTTTTTCATAAGGACATATACAGCGTACGATAACAAAAAATTACTACGTATTTCCCATGGGATTCAAGAAACGACCCTTTTGTGCAGAAGGATGCATTACGACGAATCAGATGAGACAAAATTGATTTTGCCTACTGCTCAGTTCTTGCAACCCAGAAGATAAAGTTCCTTCATGGAGTTACTTCGGGACTAGCAGGCTCTTAAGTATGTGCAAATTGGGTAAGTGGCGTCCCACAATGTCTGTTCAGCGAAACAGACGAAACTGTCATAAATAATCTGCACAATATCTTTCGTCACGTGATTATTGCATTGAAGTCCTCCAGAACTCGAAATCGCTTAAATGTTTAGTGCCAGGAGGCGCAAAAACTTCAAAGTACACAGGAACAGCGTCGGCGTTAATCCTCACCGCGCGGCACCTTGTAGTCAGTGTAAATCAAAAGGAACTCTAAGCACTGGTAAAATTCTAAGGTAAACGTTAGCTTGCTAACGTTTTGTTTAGGTAAGTTGTCACATCATACCATGTTAATTTCCCGTTAACGATCACACTCAGATGTTCAGAGTCTGTTACATTTGTCTATTTTTTGGCGATGTTCAGGAGATTTTATTTGGGTTTCCGTAGGGTTCTGGATAAGTTAAAATAAATGAGACCCCATCTGCGTGGCTTGTAGCTTGTAAACTAATTAATCGTAATCAAAATTATAAATTACAGTCGACGAAAACCTGTTTTGAACGAAGAGGTAACGACGATGCAGTAAACGGCACAGCGTTTCAACGATCTGCTGAAAAATTCAAAATTCAAAGTGAGTCGTGAATCGAATGAAGCCTGCAGATCCGCACGTTTGAAACTGTGACAATAACAAGGCGTAGCAGCGTTTCTTCGAATAATTCATTCAAATGCAGGGGCATTTGTTGGTCGGTAACTAACTTGCGTTTAAAGCTGCACTTGTCACTACTGGTGTTCAGCGTGTTCACTACATACACAACTGCTGAGGGGCGTGAACCTCGTTAGACTCACGGCTTCCTGGCAATTTCATAGAGAAATGCGCTTAATTAGAAGAAGAGTCACCTTTATCTCCCTCACTCCAGTATGTGTGTTGTACGAAACGGTTAGTCCCAAAAACAAGCTTTTTTCGCTCCTTATATACACTCCGCGAGATCCGTATAGAAGTTGAATTCCTCGGTTACGTCTAAGAAGTCCAGTGTTGTATGTTAGATGGGCGGCAAGAACCATAGCCATATTTTTATCGGAGGTACACATGTCCCTCACTGTAAGGATGAGAGGATCCGAGGACGTCATTGGCAACAACAACGCAAAACATCAGCAATGTAGCAAAATGCTTAGAATGCACACATGTTTCCACTCGTAATTGGAAGTAGCATTTTAAAGTGACGGCCTGAGTGATATGTGAACTTGCACATGATGCAAAATGCACAAAATATGCCGATAGTTCGTCGATATTACGCGCAGTTGTTTCAGTAGATGAATTCGCGGAGTATGCTTGCACAGTCATTTCTGTTCAGAACTGGTTGGGAGAAAATAATTTACTATCAGTTATAGCAAAATCAATGAATATTCATTCCGGCATAACGAGCATTTTTGTAATATATTAACAGACCATTTCATACCCTCCATTTGGTTGCAGATTCTAAGACAGGAACTCAGAACACGCAATTTGGTGTCACTTCAGAGCACTCGCAGAAATGGTCATCATCAAAGTACGACGATGCAGCTGCGTTTTAAATTTCTAGCGTCAGGCTAAACGTCTGCCCCAACCCCCCCCCTTCTCCCCGGAGGAAACAGGGAACTGTTTCTGAGGAACTACAAATTTCCCCTAATTATTGTGTTGAGCCAACATATTTCTGTTCTCATCATGAAGTGTGCCCACGTAAATTTTGATCTGTCCTGCAAACTGTCCGCAGAGCAGATCACCTGTCCAGTATGAATGTCGCAAACGTCTTGGTAAATCAGATTGTAAGATCCGTTTTATGACCTTACAAATCTGTCATTTGCCCACCCTGACCATCCGTTGCACCTGACTATTTCGCAGTTAATATGGTTCAATATGTCTGCATGTATGCCAGGACTGAGTCTCATAAAAAATCTGTGATCTGATAGATGGCTCGGAGTTTGCAGAAGGAGGAGCGTGAATGGACAAATCCACTTGAATCGATCTTCTCATGTCAACCCATGCATTTAAATATTCAGCAGCATTAATCTTTCAATCATTAACCAGTTTTCTCATCATTGTTCTTTACTCCTTATCTTGTTGCTGTGTACTACAAGTGCATTATATGTATATTATTACACCAATGGATCAGTGATTGTTGAAATTCTAGTCGTACGTGATATTTCCGCTAAGCTGTGCAGGAAAATCTATTGGTTGATTAACCGGCGATATGTGCATATTTTAATTAGCTGAAAAAAATTTGCAATAATTATTCCACTTCAAATTGATCATGAGTGTGCGGATCGATGGCTTATGTGGTTTTAGCTCAAGTCATTTACTTTCACCTGAGATTTCAACATGTGCTCGCCGAAATTCCAAGTTTCATTTATTTTCTATTATATATTTCCACATCAGCACACGTATCAGTGCTTTTGTGAAATTATTTGTACCGTGTGATCATAATTATCTCTGTGATGCCATTTTTACTTTGAATTTCAATGATGGTGACTTCCGTCTCTGAAGCCGAAACCTTGGATCAAAATACAAGTTCGCTTTATGCTGCACAAACGCTCTATTCGTTCAAGATTTTGAAAAATGCTTTTACTCACTATATCATCTCTCGATTACACAGACATCTATTGACATCGAATTCTTGTATTCAATCGTGCTTACTCCGTTGGGTTGGGTTAAAGAATATTATTCCTTCTAGTGCAAAAGACAACTATGAATCGCTATACCCTGAAATACGAACTAACTGAATTGTCTGCAAGCTTCACATTCATTGGCCATTATTCAGAGATGCGTTTTGGACGGCTGCGTCTTAGGTCACGGTATTGGTGGACAACCAAAATACCTTAACTGTTAAACTTGCGTCCATTTTTCAGAGCACTGTTGATAGGTCTCTAATAGTCGAATAACTTCTTAAACTCAAGTCAAAACCGTGACATGGATAACTTGAAATTGGTAGGTGTCCTGATAATTGGTAATCAGAAGACCTACCAGCTAAGATGATCAACGTCACGTGTTATTGGGGTGGGAACTGTTGTTGAAGGGAGGGTAGAAAGTGACACAGGAGTCCAAACCAGTGCATTCAGGAGAACATTGCCCGCCACTCGCCAGTAATATACATCCACGACCACAACGTCACAAAGTGCTCCACTTCTCTGAATCCGTTGGATTGAATTAAGGCTGGGGATCATCCGTCATAGTTTATAAGACACTCCAAACTGATTGCTAAAGAATCAGTCCGCGAAAGGAGTCAAGTGCAGAATAGGAGATTTCGGAAGAAATCTACTTCCGTTAGTGGCGGATCTACAGCGAGGACATGGAATGAAGGATCAACGTGAGAAGTACTTTCTTCGTCAGTGCCTTCGCAAATATTAATATTGCAGTTGATATCTACCAGTATATCTTCCATTCACACACACACACACACACACACACACACACACACACACA